ATTAAAATGAAGTGTAAAAATAATAAAAAAACTATTGCCTCCACGCAGGATCGAACTACGGACCTCCAGTTTACAAGACTGGCGCTCTACCACTGAGCTATAGAGGCATGTTGACCTTCTCGTACATTTGAAATTTTATTATGAACGTTTTTTAAATAAATAAATAACATCATAATGTAGATTTTTCTACATCATGTCCACATTGATGTTCTAAATACGCATAAATATGCTATAATTATTTTCCGTATTCACTGAAAGTTTTTAGAGTGGTAAAATTATTACAATCTTCTAGACTGGCATAGATACTATCGAAAGGTAAAAGTTGTGATTCATTGTTTATGTTTTTGTATGAAAAGGAAAAAGAATGCGTGTATTACTTTAATGTCACATGTTTTTGGTTGTTTTCAGTCATAGAACGGAATGAAAGTATATATAACGATGTGCGTAGTCATGATAAAGTTAACAAAATATTACTTATGCGTTGTGCAATAAATGAAAGAACATAAACGCTGATGCATATTCAATTTTGAAAGTTACATACAGTTATCACAATTTGTCATAAAACTGACGACAAAAAACATTGATTACGAAATACACGAACGACAACATTTCATTAAACAAAATTATCATCTTCATATGGTGAGTATGGTGAAATGCTGCAAGTATACCACGTGTAGTTTGCATCATCTATTCTGACTATTTATTTCTTCATTTTTTTAGAGTTAAATCTAAATAAAAGTCTGACATTCCATTTTTAACACTACAGATTTTTACTAACAACGATTAAAAAACAAACTGAGCTCATCTCCAACAATAAAGAGATATTGGAGATCTCTGATCATCGCAATAATGAACAACGTCATCACTTACTTAGGCATCCTGTTCGATCAAAAAAAAGAGACAATCAAACGACATCACATCATTCATCACGTATGATATGCTGTTTATAATCAATCGCTATTTATTCTTATATTTTAAGGTCCTCCAAAAGATAGGCGATCTGCAGCACGATCGTGGAAGAGACAAGAATTAAATATGATCCAAGACTATGTTGATGTTAGAGATACTATGGATGACGAGCCCTTAGACTTTGGGAGTCCCGATGATACGTATCATTATAATCGCACAACACCTAATTCTAAACCATCAAAAATGTTTTTAATGGGGACTGCTATTAATGAAAGTGATGCTGCTTTTCTTAATTTTCTAAAGTTAATGCTAAGAGAGAAGTATGGTACAAGACGATATCGATCACGAAATTTAGAAATAAAACAGCGTCGTTTACATACAATGCTTACTTACGTCATTGATCAGAGAGATTCCGAGGGCATTCGAATAGTATTAGACAATATATTTGCAGGTTATATCTATAAAACAATCATCGAACATGTTTGTTCTAATGGTAGAACAGCTCTTTGGTATGCATGTAGAAATGGAGATTTAGAACTCGTCCAAGAACTTATTACACGTGGACATGCAAATATTAATAAATGTGGAGTTCTAATAGTTGCTGCTCAAAATGGTCATGAAAAAATTGTTGATTATCTCTTAAAACGAGGATGTGATGTTAATCGACGTGTAAGAAATTATAATGAAAGTGCATTACATGCTGCTTCCCGTCGAAATCATCTCGGTATAGTGAATTTATTATTAAAATATGGTGCCAATTCAACTCTACGCGATAAACAGAAAAGAACTGCTTTGGATTATGCTATACATAAAAGACATATCGAAATAGCCAAAGTTCTCATCAATCATCAGCATGATTGTTTTAATATGTCTCCAGCAGGTTATACACCTTTGATGTTAGCAGCCTATTGTGAAAACACACCTATAATCGATATACTATGGAATGTATTACCTCTACAACAAGTTCTAGACGAATTATCATTATTAGCTTGTAAATATATAATCGGTGGTAATGCAAGTAAGCGTGATAAAGCATATTGTTATTTCGAAATGGCATTAAGTAGAAGAACACCATTACATGATAGTATATCCTGCGCAGCGTACGAATTTCTTAGTGAATGTCATACATTAGATGAACTTGCTCTTATACGAGAAAATGATAATAAGATGCGAATGTATGCATTACTTGTTAGTGAGCGACTTTTACTCAAAAGTGATCAAATTAATCATCATCTTTCACTTATTATTAAACAAAGTTATATCTACAAATGGAATGGATTACCTCATTCAGAGATGCGCTTAACTACCTATAACAGGAGGGGCGCAACACGAGTGAATTTTAGAAACAGGAGAGGTGCAACATCAGTAAATTCTAGACGCATCTCGAGGAGTCACTACACTCTTTCTACACCCTTGGTCAATACGTCCCATATGCCTTCCCCTCAATCGATGCATAACTGCTTTCATCGTTGTCTTCAACTACGAATATATGCTTATCAATTATTTATTCAAACAAAACCTGATCATTCGAATAATATTGAATCGCATAAGGACTATATTTTTAAACTCTTTATTATTTTACGGGAGATATTCAAAATAGAAAATTCCGTTCCTATCGAATCCTTAGCGTTGGTTTGGACATGGGTACTCAAAAGAATAGATCAAACGTTTCACAAGATTCTATTGAAGCTGCTTTATATCATCACTTATGTAAGTATTTGTTTTCATTGAATAAACACTAACAAACAGTACAAATATAACTATTAAATGAAAGTTATTGTAGAGATAGAATGATGAATATTTTATTTTGTAGCTCATGGAATCGCGAAGAACAAGTAGCAAGGAACAATATATTTTATTGGGTCTTATACGACAAGCTACGAGTAAAAATATCATTCTGGTATATCGATTTCCTCTCTTCAGCCATTTTATTCAAGAAATTATAAATGATTTGAAGACGCACGAATTTGCTTCTATCAGGTATACTTTCACTTTCTTCATTAGTTTAAAAAAAAAATGATGAAAAATATAAAGACTTTTCTTAGTTTCGAGCATCTCTAAATAGAAAGAAAAAGAAATGACGGTGTATATATTAAGTCAGAGTTTTCAACATTCTTACATTTACATAATGAAAATATATTTGATTTATTGTTAGTGTTTCAACTTTGTCAATTATTAAATTATTGATGCGCGGTGGAGCGAATGTAAACGAAGTTGCTCCACATACGAAACAAACACCATTGCATCTAATCGCTAAGTGTCAAAATGTAGATGTTGCAAGATCTGTTATTACAATTCTCTTAGATGCAAACGCTCATATTGATAGTATTGATCGTGATGGTTGTCAACCTGAAGATGTGGCCTATCACGTCGAAATCAAAGAGTTTCTCATTGCAAACCGGAAACATTCACTGAAATGTCGCTGTGCTCATCTAATCATTTCAAAAAACTTATCTTATAAGAATTATCTTTCGTCAAATCTAATTAAGTTTATTCGAATGCATAGTTCTGATGAATCGACTGTTAACCAACCTTAATTCAATGGTTAGGCCATTAATCATTTATTTATTATGTTTGCATTTTATACATGTACTTTTTTTTATTAGGTGAAGAGTGTAAAGATTGAAAAATATTCACATCTGCACCCGTTAAGTTCTATAACATTGAATTGCTTGACTTTGTGAATTCAATATGATTTTTTCAAGTTGGCTAAATTTTATTTTCTTGAAATATCAATTTTTAGATTACAGAAAATTGTGAGGTATGTCTCATATTGTTATTTATAAGCAAATATGAATGTGCAAGTAAACGCATAACCGAAATTTGAAATCTGACTGAATAAAACAATGATTAAATCTATGTTTTTTTTAGATATTCTAATTTTGAGTTTTTAGTTAGAAAATCATAAGCAGAATATAATATTCACATATTTAAATGTTGAAGTCTGTTTTACAATTTAATAAAGTATTCGTTCAGGCTATATATAATAATCAAAAATAAACATGAAAGAATATATTGATCGACCCACTCATCCATATTCATCTTTTCAAAATAAAAAATAATACATACAATAAAAAGTTTTATCGATAAAACTACGTATTTTTCTATACTATAATACATTTAACCAATGATTATATATATACTTTCTTTCTATTAGTCAAATATAAAAAGAAATTTACTTTCAAATTTTGATTAAATATACAGATTAACAAAGATATATTTCGTTTAAAGCATTTGCAAATATATTAATCAATTTTTGTAATACAAAATTTCATAAGAGGTCAATAAATTATACGATGAAAAAAATTTAATGTAAGCATATGGTAATGCTCACATCTTTCTTTTTCTACACATATACATTATTATTTTATCGATTAGCCTTCTTTTTACTGATCGTAGTCATTAAATAGAAGAACGCAAGAGAGTAAAAGGTAATTTTGTTCTGTTGATATTAGAGAACGAGCAAATAGATTGCATATATAAGGTTACGCTCTACCGTCTGTTACGTATAAGAGAACAAGTAACGAAAAAGCCAACGTCTTTCACGCAAGTCAAACGCACATGGTAAAATATTAAGTTTATTTTTACATTTATAGTTTGATTAGTTTTGAATAGACAACTATTAATATATACAAAGTAAAACGATAAATTGATTCACTTTGTTGATTAAATCAAACAGCATGAAAGTCATTCATAAAAGCTAAGATTTGAAATACTCTTTATGATTTTATTCAAAGATAATTTGAGTTTGTATCAAAAAATTCTTCTCACATGATCGAATTTCGGTATTTGATGGAACTGATTCCGTTGTGTTCAACATCTCGGAATAGAATGAGCTCGTATGAAAGACTAAATATTTAATCAATATACTATGATACAAATATCAGTTTATGTCTATGTTTAAATATTTGATTTTATAATAACAATATAAGAATGTGTAAGTTTCATAGGTTGCTCATACGAACAACAAAAATAATCAAAAAAGTTGATTCCAGTAAAGGTTTTCTAATTCTTTATTACTAATACTAAATTTTTTTCAGATTTCAGAAGTAGATATTTGACGGTAGAAATTAGATTACGTACGAAAAAAAATGGGTAATTGTCCAACATGTTCTCCTGAATATGAAAGTAAAAGTCTTGATCCAGTATGCAATGGTACACGAATGTGGACTACATTTCTTTTCTCATCGTTGGTTGTACTTTTCACTGGAGCGATAATAATATTTATTTCTGAAGCATTCCAAAAACTATCGTCTAAATGGCATACGAAACATCCGACAAGAACAAAAAATGTGAGACATGTATGTAATAAATATCATTCTTATAGTGTGTATTGCTTTCAATTCAGCTTCAATCACCGAGACACGAATCACCTGACAACGATGATGATATTACAACTATTCATGAATTTAATCGGTTCAATGAAATTAAAAATTGGCAAAATAATCTTATTTCTGGACAGACAATATTGGGGAAAATATTTGTTCGTATTCCAAATAAAATCTACAACATTCTCTCGAATTCTTTGTTATTATTTTTAGGTTATCATTATTTTTCTCTGTAATATTACTTCATTGATACTATACTGCTTCGACACAAAATTTAATAAGTAAGAATAATACTGAAATATTTTATTCATTCAATCGGATTGAGTTTCTTAAATCATATTATGGTAGATACATTGTTTATTTATGAATTTAGTTATATTGAAGTATGCACGATGTTTCACAGATCAATCAGCATGCAAATTGATCTCGGTTTGAATATTGTTTTTCTCATTTATTTCATTCTTCGTGTGCGTATTAATATATCATTTATAAATAGTATAATATTTTTGTTTATTAGTTAACTGCTGCTCAAAACAAACGATACTTTTGGTTTAGTTTATATTCTCTTGTCGATATTTTTACTATTCCACCATCGCTCATGACTATATATCTCAATCGAAGTTGGACAGGCTTTCGATTTTTACGAGCAATTCCTATAATGATTATCCCTGATATTCTACAATATATGTATGTAATTAAACAACCGCGTACAATTCGAATCAGTCAATTGGCATCAAAATTTATTGCCATCCTATTTGCAACTGGTGGATTCGTACATCTTGCTGAAAATTCAGGCGATTTCTTTTGTAATTTTTGTAATGCACAAGAAATCGATGTTTTTAATTCTGTATATTATATGATTATTACTATGACAACAGTAAGTTAATTACTAAAAGAAAAAAACTACATCATTATATTCTAGGTTGGTTATGGAGATATTTCTTGTAAGACATATATCGGCAAATCTTTTGTATTATTAACTCTTATTGGTGGATTGGTATGTATTCATATTGTATGTATCCATTTGATTATTATCTATTCAAATTTAGGCAGTTTTTACAACTATGATTCCAGAATTTTCAAGTCTATTTCGTTCAAAAGATCCGTATGCTAGTCGGTATCATAGAGTCAAAGGCAAACGGTATAGTTGATATTGCATTTTCAATATGAGCATATATTTATATTTACAGTCATGTTATCATCTGTGGACATATTACACCTCATTCATTGGCTGCATTTCTTCGTGATTTTCTTCATCAAGGTCGTGACGAAGTCGATGAACTCGAAGTTGTCATCATGGATAAGTATGTTTTTTTTGCACCATTGATAGAGGATAGTACATGAAGTTACATAGACATTCTTTTCTGTAAATTTTAATAATGGAGGGCTATCGAATTAACAAACGTTTTACATAAAGCATCACTAATTTTACTCTAATGTGGAATTTTTTATTTTTATTCAAAGAAAAACGCCTGATATTGAAATGGAAGCATTACTCAAACGATACTATACAAAATTACAATATTTTGTTGGTAGTATTATGAATATTGCTGACTTACACCGTATACAGGTAAATTGCTTCATACATGATTAGGGAAGGGTGTGGGTGAAAAGACGGCTAACATCCACACTCTCAACGATGTTTTTTTTATATATTTCTTTATTTTAAAAATCATAATATTTATTGTACAAAAGGTCAATAAAGCTACGGCATGTTTAATCATTGCTAATAAAGAATGTGCAGATCCTAACAGTGATGATTCGGCAAATATTATGCGAGTAATTAGTTTAAAAAATTTTAATCATCATATTCGCATACTGTTACAACTACTACGATATCATAATAAAGTAAGAAAGATTCATCCTATTTACATAATATATTTTGATTTTCATCTAGTTAAATGTTGTATCAATACCAGGTTGGAGTACAGACAATGACGAAATTATCTGTATTTCTGAATTAAAACTCGGTCTTATCGGTATGTCATGTATTGCACCTGGATTTGCTACAATGGTATTATAATCAAAAATTATTTAACTATTTATTACTGTTTATAGTTTTTTTTTAATAGATGACAAATATATTTCGAATGTCATCGTACGATGCTCGGAAATCCCAGCAAATGGTACGTAAAATTAGATGATTTATTTTAATGTGCTGTACTTATCTGTAGACTCAAATTTGGCCATGGCGTGATTTGTATTATCGAGGTGCTGGAATGAAATTATATCTCGAAGAAATGCCTTCTTCGTTCTATGGAAAATCATTTGTTGAAAGTGCTCTGTATGTACTCTATATTTGAATAGAATTAATCAATTTTAATTATATAGAATTTGTTTTAAACTTCATGTTATGCTTCTTGCTGTTGAAATGGAACGATCAGATGAAAATGATATTACACGAATGATTGTCAATGTAATTCCATGTGATAATTGTATAATTCTTCCTGGAAGTCGCGCATTTATTGTGTGTATGTCGAATGAAGAAGCTAATCGGTTAGTGTTGATTTTAATATTAATATTAATTCATTGATATATTTTATATAGAGTAAAATATTATTGCTCAATTTGCTATCCAGTACTTGATAATCTTACTGAATTACAATTGAAACAGATGCGAAAATGTTCACATAGTGGTATACATACAATTTTATATATTTCTTAACTTTTTAGTTTATATTGTAGACGAAATTAATGTGAAATTAGAAGAAGAAATACCAATTCGAATACAACCGTTTGATTTTTCAGAAAATGAACATGCAATTGTGTAAATTATTTTTTATATTTTAAAAATTATAAAAACTATTTATATGAACTAGTCGTATATCAGACACAAATGTTACTCAACCTCTTTTATCGTCTCAATCTGAACAAATACATTCGTCATGTAAAAACTGCTACAAAACGTATGTTATAAATCGTTTTCTTTGTTCTTTCATTTATTTTAATAATATATCATTCAGACAAGATGTTCCTTTTGTTTTCTTTTTGCAGGTTATCAAAAGAGGATATATCAAGTTTTGATTCCACTGGCATGTTCTATTTTACACCACCACGAAACATAGAAGATGCTATTCTTGTAAGTCATTGTTGATTGAAGATTATAAAAATATCACTTTTATTTCCTATAGGACACAAATGTACTTCGAGAATATCGTAGTGAATTTCCAGAGCAACGTTTTGCACAAAAGGAAGCAATGCCATCTAAGCATCCTCTCTATTTTCGAGATCGTAAGTATAGTAAAGTACTAAGAGAATTTATTTATTCATTCATCTATTTCACACAAGTCGACTAACTATGAAATAATATATAATTTGATTATTTTTTGTAAGATATAATCGTATGTCTTCATGCCGATGATACATCACCAACAATTGGCCTTCGAAATTTTGTCATGCCTCTTCGTGCGAGTTCATTTCGTCGACATGAATTACCAACTATTATTTTTGTTACGGATTTATGTTATATTCAACGTGAATGGGACATGTTATCAACTTTTCCCGATATATATATTCTTAATGTAAGCTAGTTCCTTCTTAAAAGTTTCTTCTTGTATTTAAATCTAGGGTTCTCCAATTAATCCTTACAATCTCAAATTAATCTCACTTCATGATTGCCGTCAATGTGTTATTATGTCCACTGTCGATCGTGGAAATCTAGACACTTATTTAGTCGATAAATCATCCGTAATATGTGCTCTTACTATTCGACAAATTCAAATGAAACGAGTTGGGCTTCTTTCACAATATAGTTTAACAGGAAGAGGCAGAGCTAATCAATATATAACTGGAACAAAACTTCTACGTCAAAACTGGATTAATACATTAACTACACTAAGTAATTCATCGGTTTATGTTCTTCATCAATGAATTGACTTCTTTTTTTTATTGTAGCAATTGATTCTAATGTACAGTATGTTGAGCAAGGTACAATGAATAGTTTTTCCAAATTTATTTTGACCTTTTCATTCTCCATTTTATAGGACATACAGATGAAGTTGATCTTCAATTCTTTTTAACTACTCCATTTGCATCAGGTATCATTAGTATAAGTTTTTCATGTTCAATTATATATTTACATCTATATTAAGGTACTGCATTTGCCGACAGTGTACTTGATTGTATCTTAAGTTGTGTAAGTATTTTTCATTAAAAATCATTCGAAAGAGAGTAGAGTTTTTTTAACTTTTTATTATAGAGAACTTATAGAGTTTAACTCCAAAATTTCTACATATGTCTTTACTAAAAGAAATTATTCTAGAGACATATCCCTTAAAGAAATAAAAGTCTTTCTATGGCTGAAGTGATTGATCTTTCAAAATATAGTATAATTATACTGTATAGTTTCTTTATAGGCTTATTACAATGTGAATGCAGTCAATTTACTTCGAAATATACTTGTGGGTGGTATTGATGTAGAATTAGAAGATATACTTGCTGAAGGCAAACGATTTACTCAATGCAAATCACCGGAAATGTTTCAAAAACGGAAACGAGCACGAGTAGCTTTAGTTGCAATTTGTAATTTAATTCCAGATATAGATACAAGAGTATGAAGTCGACTACTTTCAGTATTGATAAGAAAAAACACTTTTTTTTATTTAGTCAGATCCTGTAACATTTAGTTTACTTTTTTGTAAATCACTTGAATATCATCGTATGGTAGTCATGGGTATTTATCGTCTTTTGGATGTATTGCTTAAAAGAGATCCAAATTGGAAAGGTCATCAATCAATAAATGATCAAAAACGTATTGTTATCTATTATCCACCATATGATTATCACATGGATCGAACAGATATGGTGTGTATTTGAAAAATAATTTATATTTATCTATTTTTATATTTTAGGTCTATGTTATGCAACATTCGCATTTAGAAGATGATTAGTTTATTTCGTAGATATTTAGATTATTTTTACATTTTTTAAAAATAAATATTTCTATGTAATTTTACATATTACATTTATTCATGTCTGATAAGAAAAAGAAATGTTATACGAAATGTATGTATGTAAGATAACTATTATTTTATTTAGTTTCTTCATCTTATAACAATCTAAGTAGATAAGATTGTCACAACACGTTTTTTTACGAGATTTTCATATATCTCGACAATTCTAACAGGTATTTATCAAACTTGTAGATACTTTCAAATTTAAGATGATATCATCGACTGAGATTCATTTAAATTTACCAAATAGAGAAGCGTATCTTGAATTAATTCAACCAGAACATATCGATCAGTTATATCAATTATTTGAATCTAATCGTAAATATCTTCAAAAAAATATTCCTGGAATTGATTCACTTCAGACTCGAGACGATCTTCAACGTCGATGGGGTACTTCAAAAGAAAATTCGTTACAGTTTGGGCTTTGGCTTAATAAAAATCAATTGATTGGTCGATGTCGTCTGACACGAGATGTTAATACCTGTTCTGCTGACATTGGCTATTGGATATCTGAATCTTTTCAAGGACAAGGACTGATGACAAGTGCAGTAGAACAATTAATAAAATTTGCATTTGAAAAATGGAATATCAAACGTATGGAAATTCATTGTGGTGGTAATAATCTCAAGTCTCGAGCTATTCCAGAAAGACTTGGATTTTCTAATGAAGGAATTTCACAAATGTATCCATCCATTCTATTAAATGGACAAATGCTTGAATCAATAGTTTATTCAAAGAATAATTCAATAGAGAAATGAAAAATATGATGTATAACACAAATAAAATTGTATGAAATATATGTTATCTGGAAATTTTTAACTAATTTAATGTAGAAATAAATATAATGTAGTCATTTATAATTTTAATAGAAACATGAAATTTTCGACAAGTGAAGCATGAATGAGAAACAACGATTTTTGATCTTTTTAATCTTTTTTAAAAATACATCATCATAATCATAAACTCGATATTATAACTAATAAATCAGTATATAAATGAAATTTTTCTAGACAATAATATTGATTTTGTAATTAAACAAGTAACCCTCGCAGGGGTGGCGCGAGTCAGCCAACATGGGGAGGGAGGGAGGGGTGTAACGAAAGTTTTTTGAATTTTTGGGAGGTGTAGCGTGATCTTTGTTCAAAAAATTAAGAAAATTTGCCGATTTTGTTGAGCAAAAAATAGAAATTTTCAAAGATTGGGGGGGGGGGAGGGGGGTTACCCCCCCGACACCCCCCCCCCTGGTCGCGCCACCCCTGACTACTGCACTAAAACAATGATGATATGATTATTCTAATGTAGACATTAGATCACATGTGCTTGCATTGTATGAAAGTAATACAAAATTACCATTTATTGAGAATAAAGATGATATTAAATTTAAATGGCCAAAGAACAGTTAAACATATAGCAATATTATTGCAAATACACTACTTTAACTTAAGATCGTTCGGTGTTATTCACAACCAACAATCATTTGTAGTGAATTTTATCATATATATTTTTTTTCATTAACAGAAAATGTTTTGTACAAGTAAATTTGATTGAT